TCATAAAACACAGGTTGTCCGAAAAAACGAATCATCATTTTCTTCAAATAGGTGATCAGCAAATGTAGTTCTGTGGTTTTTATAGAAAGAAATAATCACAAATTATCATTGAGGATTATTTCAAATATACCTGTACCAATTTTCGTCATTTGAATATACAATGTGTCTGAGAAAAAAATTAAAAAGGATAGGTAAGCTATATTTTTCATCCTGATACCTCTTCACTCAAAATAAAAATATGAATCAGGATCACTTGGAACATACCTGTACCGATTTTCATCATCATAAAATACAGGGTATACGAAAAATCAAATTAATATTTTTTTTGAGTTGAAGAAAAAATATTGCCCACTTTTTCTTTTAAATTGTTTTCTCATACACATCGTATTTTTGAATGATGAAAATCGGTACAGATATGTTCAAAGTGATCCCCAATAATAATGTGTCATCAATTCTTCTCAAAAATACCACAATACTACATTTTCTGATCACCTATTAAAAAAAAACATAATTCGTTTTTTCGGACACCCTGTGTTTTATGATGATAAAAATCAGTAAAGGTGTTTTTCAAGTGATCGTGATTCAGAATCCATCATTGTTTTTTGTGAAAAAAAATCCCTAATAGTACTTTCTCAAATATGGGTCAATAAAGCTGGTCGCAGTTGGCCACGATTACAGTTCATGAGTAAAATCACTCTCTTGTTGGATGGACATTTCAAATACCTATCCAACAAAAAAAAGTTTTTCGAAATCGATCAGGTAATAACAATTTTACAGGGGTGGTAAGTCCTTAAGGTGGACACACTGTATATGACACAGATTTGACGTCACGCCGTTCACACAAACTGTTTTGATTGGTGCACGTATTCAAATCAATGATTGACAATGAAAGATTGACAAATATATCGAATTTCATTTCATTACATTTTCGACAGTTGGTCTTGAAACTGATTCAATGTTTTCATGGTTGAACCTACAACATCCTAATTGAAAACAACTTTTTGAAAATACCTATACTGTTATTACTTCCGGTCGATTATTTCAGATTTAATTACCGTCTGACTAACTAACTGTGAAAAGGTGAAAGATCTTACTTTGGCATAAATGAAATAGGTACTAAAGTCTGTATCCAATACTCTAGACTGGGTTCCCTCCAAGGGAAGCAGTCAAACCAATTCTCAAGGATCCTCATAGACCAAATAATATAAAAATATATGTCTTGAAAGTTCAAAAACAGAATTTAAGGTTGAGTATTCTTGATTCACCCTTTTGATTGGTTACGACCGGATATACCACCATGTTGAGTTAACAATCCTTGTGAAATGGTTACTTTTCGGCATATTACGGAGGGGAGGCAACTTGTACGAACGTACTTGTTTGGTTCAGGCCCAGTAAAGGACTTGTACAAACTCGGACGACATACTGGAGTTGGTACGATTAGGAAACATATAGGTGAGTTACAATGGGCCAAAAGACGAAAGTGTCAAACGAACATTCCATGGGGTGGAATGTTTAGTGGTTACCTACCCTGGCGTGAGTCAAGGAGCTCCACAATGTCATATGGGGCACTGGATCAGTAGATATGATGCCATGCACAAAGAATTTCAATCACCTCATAAAAAATGGTGCTATATGGTCGAACGTTTCAGAAATATCTACTTATTGCAAATCCCTATTGCCGATCAGAAATGATGTTATTATCTAATATCTTATATGATTTCAAGGTAGTTGAATTGAAGGCGTTTTTAAAACGGTTCAACTCGAGCCACCTTTCACATGGTCGGAAACATTTCAAGGATATAATAATATGTACCTACCTATCATTTGGTTGAGTAGATTGCAAAAAATCTGAGTCATTTCTAAGGCACAAGAATAACTTAGTGCGATGATAATTGTTATGATATGAGGTTGAATAAACTAGACAAAATTTTACATTTTTAAGAGCCAATAAAATGATCTCTATAGTAATAGGAAATATCACGAACCGTTTATTGAGTATATATACCTATGTAAGGGACATTTTCTTTTCTTTTTTTTGCACTAGCACCTCCAAGTCTAAGAGTATACCTACTGATATACCTATATCACACTTTTTTTTCTGCTCTGATTTATTGTGCTTCAAAAAGTTTCTTCTACCTACCACTACACCACAATCATGTCTATACTTTCGAAAAAATGTTGAATGTTCTCTTCTCATGTCAAGGTTTTGGATTTTGAAATAAATTGCCTTATAGGTAGGTACTGTAGATAACAGTATACAAATTAAACATAATTATTGGTTCTCGTCTTATTCCGATTGTTCCGCCACTGTTGAAAGCAAAACACCTACTTTTGAATTCCGATTAACATACCTACTATCGAAAATTAAAACACGGCATGGGTTGATATATCTAAAAAAAAAGAACGCCGGTGCCGTGGCCGCGTGTGTATCGCATCGCATCGGCGCATATGAAACGAAACAGTCGTATCCCGCGGCTCGACAAGATGGCGGACGCCACTCGGAGCGGCGTTGCGGGATACAAAGGTGTGGTTCATGGTTCTTCTTCATCGGCTACCCTCCGGTTAAATATCGAATGTTTCACACCCATTGTCTTCCACGCTCCTCCCAATCCACGAGATGTTTTAGCTAATGAAACTGACGTTCATTCGTTTCAGAGACTTCAGAGTTGGTATTGAAAAATGATGGGAAATATTCACAGGGAGTTATTTTAACTGGATCTTTTCTTAGGGTCGTCCTGTATGACAGAATAATTTCTTATTGTGCACGTCATGAATAATCATCTAATTACCACTAGAGTGGGTGCTAATATTACCCCAATAAAAGTAGGTATACCTATATAGGAGATATGGGGTATTATATATTCATCCTAACTGCTGAGGGTAAATTCATCCTGCAAAAATAACACTTATTGACCAAAATGTATTCAATTTCAGTTCATAATATTGTAAAAGTGTATTTGGAAGATTATTTCATAGATACCTATTTAAGTGGATACAGCAACGCCACATTGGCGCTAGCAAAATCGCGTTTTAGCTCTGTAAAAATGGCACTAATTCTAAGTAATTCTTTGAATTTTTTTCTGAAAAACCTACAATGAAGAGAAGTTCTCTACAGTTCACTATTAATAGTTGTATACAGGGTTACAATTTGAAAACGAGCAGCATTCAATATTTCTTCAACTTCTCCATCTTCTTCTTCATTTTGTCAATTTGGTGAAACGAGTCGATAGTCAATTTATATAATATCAAGGGGGACAACTTTTGGGGTATACGTTGTTATATATTACATTTAACCCCTTCACTGTCAGGACCACATGGGACCACTATACCCCAAACATTTTAAATAGCAACCCCCAATTATTTTGCTCTATTTTTGAAATCCTTATGTGATTCCAGATAAGTCAGGTAGGTATTTACACCTATTCAACATTTTTTGTCTTTAAAATTGCAGTACTTGCAATATCTCACGAATTTTTGGATTGTTATTTATTATGACGATTTATAAAAAAAATATTTATAGATCTAACTATAATTCTCGCTATAATTACTTCATGAATTGTTCAAAATGGTCTCCAATGTTTTGTAAGCACAATAATTACAGCCGATATTCCAGAGACCTTCCATCAGAAGGTGCGCGAACAGAACATTGGAGACCATTTTGAATTATTCAAAAAGTAATTAATTATATTTGTAAATTATTTTTTGTCATCACCATAATAAATTTCAAGCCAAATATTCGTGAGTTTGAGTACTGCAATTTTGAGAACAAAAAATAGATGTATAACTTATCTGGAATCACATAAGAAATTTCAAAACTAGCAAAATAATTGGGGGTTGCCATTATAATTTCAGGGGTAGTTGCACTGACGGTGAAGGGGTTGAATGTTGTGTATAGCAATTCCTCAAAAGTTGTCCCCATTGATATGTCAATGGACGTGTTTCGTCAATTTTCATATTGTCATCAGTTAAAGATATATTGTGTGCTGCTCGTTTTCGAATTGTCACCCTGTATATAATTTATTTACATAAGTTATAAAAAATACGAAGTATAGTTTTCTTTGAATCTGATGATTATATTTATAGGTCTATTTGCTACATTTCTAGATATTGTTATCATCTTTTTTTTTATACGACAGTTCTCTGTGAGGGGAGTCCATCTTTTATTACGCCTCGAAAGAAATGCTTAAATTTGATTTGTCAATTGTGGGTATACAGGGTGTCCCTGAAAGGTCCTTAGTCCGAAATTGTTCCGTTTCCGAGATACAGGGTGGTAAAGTTAAAAAATAAAAATCGACAAGTATACACTCCAAAGAAGTGTTCTGAAAAATCAATTTTGACACTGCTGATTCACTGACCATATTATATGTACGGAGATAACAGCGAACACTTTTAATTCGAAATAATTTAAATATTCCGGTGTGGTATCGAACACTAAAAACCGAAATATCTCGAAAACGGTTTACTCTAGCGGATTTCCACATGAGTCTTTTTTTGCTTAACCATAGGAAGTGCATTGGAAAGCGCCCTCTAATGGCCAGAGTGAAAAGGTGTCCTTATTCGGGTTTCGCATCCCGAAAAATTTCCGGATACAAATTTTTGAAGTAATACGTTCGATAATGTTTATTTTATACTCTTTTGGAGTGTACTTGTCGATGTTTATTTTTTACCTTTACCACCCTGTATCTAGGAAAGAATGCAACTTCAGACATAGGTAAATTGCTTCAAAGCGGCTTATTTTGACTTCAGGAATATGAGCTGAGATTTTGTACAGACCTTTTAGGGGAAAAATATCACACCAGTCATGTCGACATGCATGAACATAATAACCAACCGATATATTCAGGAAAATTGAAAAACCCAGGCATTTCAAAAAATTCAAATTTTGAGATGATGTACCTATACTCCACATTCTTCGTAAACAAATTGTATGTTACAAAAATGTCGAATTTTCTTATTCTTGCTCATTTGACTAACCCTGTAGAAAATAATGAAAGTCCATAATGTTCACTAAACAGGTGAAGTAACCGTGACATGCTCAGATGTGATAATTGAACCAAACGTTATTTTACACAATACTTAGGTATATTGTATTGGACCTATTCGAGCCCGTTTAATTTAATGTAATAACTGACTGTTCATTGATACACCTAGTGAGTAATATAATTTTATTCATTTTTTCTGTAGGACATGGATCTGATAGAGGTGCTATGGAAACAAGATGTCGATCTTGGATTTTCCATGGAAAATGCTGTTCACAAATCAGATAAGGATGCCGACATCAAAATAATTGACCCGAATGACCCAACTACTTCGATCAACGGGAAACATGACGACCTGGAGAAAATCAAGACTCTTCAAGCCATCAACAAGGAATCAGTCAAGGTTGGTGAATTGTTGAGAACCAACTTTTGTTTTCATAGGGAACTTCGATACACACATACATTTTCAACTATGAGGTATGCAAGACAAAATAACACCTTGGTTAGAAAATATAGTCAACGAACAAGATGAATCAATTATAGGTACTTTAGTTCGATTCCTTCAACTTTTGATGAGCTCACTAGAAATAAAAGAGCAAAAAGCAGTTAACAAAAATCACAGTGGAGATAAAAACATGCAGAACTTTCGACCTGATGATTCGATACAGGGTGATCCAAGGTGAATGGCCTATTAGAAGTATCTGGAGAACGAAAAGACAGAACATTCTGAAAATTGGGATTCTTCGATATTTGAACATTCTCTATCCGTCTGAAATATTTTCATCGATACAGTGTTGCCACTTCTACTAGAAACAACTAGCAACTTCGTTATTTTAAATGGAGCACCCTGTATTTTATTGCGTTTTCAGATTCTTCCTGAAGAGCTGATTTCATCAATGCATCACACTCGGATTTTAGCTGAAATGATTACAGAGATATAGGGTGTTCAAAATCGAGATTTTTCAATTTTAGGATTTTTTTGTGTCGAAACTATTCATTATCGATCAAAACGGCTTACATGTTTCTATCTCAACTTTCGATTCACTATCTACTGACAATTGAACAGATACAGGGTGATCAGAATTCTGAATCTTGAGGCACCCTGTATTTTTTCCAATTAAATTCCAGGACCCAGTTAAAATGTGTCTCCTGACTGTTACAGGGTATTTTATTATTTTATTCTATTCAAAAATTTAAAAGTCATGTTATTATGTTAATCTGAATTGGAGTTCCATTTGCGTAATGAATTTGAATGAATGCAATCCAGATCCAAAATATCGACATAATTAATACACATCAAAATCAAAATAATTGTGCAGCTTCATCATGATTTACTTGAAATATCTCAAAAAATATAATGACTTTATCGCTATGAAGGGAGTTTACGATATTCACGTAAAAAGTATTGGAGTATCGAAAAATTGTATGAAATGGCAATTCCGTCAGTGGCGTAGAAATTGGGAACGATCAACCAGTCACTTGCTCCTGTCGTACGCTTCTGGGTAGTATCCAGAAATGTTCATTTTACATAATTTCGTAGGGTGTATAGTATTCACACTTCCCGCCAAATATTAAAAGGATACGTCAATTAACAATTTTTGAATTTGCAAATAGAACACCCTGTAACTCAGACATGAGACACATTTTATGTAGTTGATTTGGGTTAAATATATTTCGAGCTCACTCTATAGTTGAAATATTTCCAATTAGTAATGAAACATCCTTTATAAATATACTTATAAGTCATTTCAGGAACGAATCCATCCTTGTTTTTTAATCCGAGTTTTTCTTTTCTATGGTTATGGCAACCGATACTTTTTAGTAATGAGTTAGCAAATCTGTTGACTTCTAAGTTATTGCAATTATTAAATCTCGAATCCATCGATTAAATGGTCAGTCTTTCAGAAGTAAAAACCAAGTATGTTGAGAACAAGAAGTGCTGTTGTCTCCATTGAGAATAATGCAGATGTTTCTATCAGTTTTATTCCTTGATTGGGTCCTTTTTTGCTTTCACATTATTTCAGTCCGCTATTGGCGGTTTTCAAGATCATCATCTGACGTTGCGATGACGTTTAACGATAGGTAGGGAAAACATTCCCAACTCCTGGCATAGATTGAATGTTAGACGTGTTCTCCCGTAGTTTTCCCTACTGCTAAATGTTACCGCAACGTCATCTAATGACCTTGAAAACTGCGAATAATACAGGCTATATCTTCATGAGTTAACGATAATCTATATATGGAGAACTAAAGATACCACGATTCTGAAAATTCGTTGGGACGATAAAGGATACATGGAGAATTGTTCTAAAATATTTTCATTATTGTGAAGCTTCCGGTTTTTCCCGAAGGGACATCTTTTTTATTTTCTATGGGACACCCTGGTTTTCACAACATTTTTGAATTCCTCTCATGATTTTGATTCACATACCTATAATGAGTTATTCAAGTTTTTCTAGAAAAAGTGACATATTATGCAGCCTATCAAACGTACGCCTCTTTTATGTGAACTGCAATTATCAAATCGTGATATTGAAGGTTGAACGGATCTTTAAAAAAGAATGAGCCCTAGTTCCAATTTACTTCCCTATACCCAAAACCCATAATTTCGGAGATATTCCATGAATAGAACTTTATTCTGCAATAACTGCCTGTAATTTTGGATTTTTTCAGCAAGCTGTGATTCTGACAAGAGCAGAAGCTTGAAATTATGTTTGGTCGACCAAATTTCATAAAAGATCTGTATGTTAGAGATGTCTTTCTGCAACACAAGTATGATAGTTTTTCGGAGTCAAATATTTCCACTAAACATATTTTTATCAATTCAATTCCAATTGTTTCTAGGTAATATCAAATTGATAACTATCATTCAATGATTGCTATAGAGAATATATTTTCTCAGAATGAGATATCTCGGGGTTTTTTCTATTAGCCAGAAAAGTAGTTGTTCTCTGTTAGATATCCGAACAATTGTTATTCTACATTTTTTCATTTTCTTGCATAATAAGTATTTCTAATATTTGACAGATATTATTCAATATTTTGTAGTATAAGCCAGGATAAATATTTAAAGAAATACATTGAGAATTGGCATTCTATTTTCCTGGCTATATATATGCCATGACGAACATTGAATCATATCTATTGAACACACACGATAAGAATTTGAAAATAAAATCTTCTGAAGTTGAGAATATGCATTCTCCTTCAGATAAAGACATATAAGTATGCACATAATATCATTCTGAAAATTCAACAGAAAACAACTACTTTCCTGGCGATTTGCGACGTCGAACATTGAATTATATCTGTCGAATATCCAAAAGGACAACATGAAAATAAATATCCTCTTAAATTCAGAAGTGACATATTCTCCTTCAAATCGGATAAATAATATGATGTATAATGATATACAATTATAACTTACCAATATATTCAGTATTGAAATGTATAGGAGAAGTATAAGTACTTGTATAAACTGTGATCTCTGATCTTGATGAGTTTTAAACTTCCAAAAATCATTCATATCAGTGATATGGGAATGCTATCTCTCACAAATAGGTTATATGAATTTATTCCAATGAACTCAGTATCAATTTGTCATACATAAAAAAAATAGTTGTTTTCTGTTAGATATTTGAACAATAATTCTTCTTATTGTTCAAAAACCTTATTCCTAACCAAGGGGTTATTTGGACGATGAGAAACTGAATAATATAGAGATCTTATGTAAAAGATCCACAATTAATCGCAGAATACCCCACACTCAGATATTATAAACAATTCACTTTGTATATTATACTATCGACACATCAAACACATCCTTTTTAACCCTTCCTGGATTATCAGAAATGTGTAGTTGATGAGAGGGCGATAAATAAGTATATGTATATCTGAAATATCTTTACAGGAAGAACCTGAAGAGATTGATGATCCTTGGGCTGGGCTGGACTATACAATCGACACAGAAACAGGTATGTGAAGAATCATAAAGGACTTTTTTCAATTTATTTGGAAATATCCCCAGAATGACTCTTGCTGGTATGCAGCAAGACCGATTCTCAACGAATATACACCTAACGATACATCTCAATTCTATAACAATTTGTTGTAAACTTTGGATGTCTGGTGGTTTGAAATATCTTCCTGGGCAATTTTTAAATGCGTTTAACCCTCAAGATTATGATAATCTCACTGACATTAGGATATCATTTGCTTAAACGAATATGTTTCATTTATACTTCACAAACTAAAATATTTCACATACTATGAGATTTCCACAAAATTCTCACAAACGCGCAATGTTTCGCTAATACAAGATAGCTCAGGTGAAAAATTATCTTTTATGGTTAAAGTAAGGGCATTATTCAAAATAATTACTAGGTAAGTAACATGAAGCGGAGTTTTTATGCACTTCGGTAAACTTTTCACCAATACAGTATAGGTGGATTCATGCAAGCAAAATTTAAAACTTAAATGAATTTTAAACTTGAACCAATAATATAAAACTATGAAATGTAATGTGGGTGTTCATGCAAGAAACTAAAAAATTAAAACTAAAATTAATACTAAGAAAGATGGCCAACATTCAACTAAGAAATTAATTTCTTCCATAATTCACGACAACGCATGCGCCAAATAATAGCTAGCCGTGCTGGAAAAAGAATAAACAGCTGATGAAAGGTTAACACCCATATATTTTTAATTTAAAATTCGTTTAAATCTTAAATTCATTATAATTTAGTTGATGTTGCATGAATCCACCTTATATTTATGGCGATCTCTGATGTACTCCACTTCATTATTCTGCGTTTGAAATGAAATGTACCCAAAGGAAGAAACAATATAGCATATCTATTAACATTAGTCTCCGAATAACTGCCACCTTTCTAACTTACGAAACTTCACTTTTAGAAGAGAGAAAGGAATTATACGAATTTCAAACCGAATTCCAAGCAACTACATCGCAATTGAAGTTGGACACCTGGTATTTTTGCTCAGATTCGTAAGATTATAACTTCCAAAAAAATCAACCGATTTCAATTCCGTTTTCAGAATTCAGAAGCGAATCATGAATTGGAAAAACGAAAAAATTATAAACTAAATATTTCACAGGGCGATGAATAGTACACTGCAAACTTGCATCGAATTAGCAGTCATCCTATTCCGTCCAAAAATGTTTCTTCTAGTTTTCTCATATTGCATCACGGAGTTTGATGTTATATCTCGAAATGGTTTTTTATGTTCATTGATTGATTACTCAGTTCTGTTAATATGATTTTTTTATAGTCACAAAAATAGTGTGTACCATTTCTAAAATTCTTCACAAGAACATTTTGACGGTTATGTGAATCATAGAAAATTGAAACCACCTGAGATTAATTCACCTATCAATACAGGGTGATTTCCCAGAATTCAATACAGGTTCCAATTTGTATTTGTAAATGAACATGGTAATGTGTGCCATGTTGAGGATCTCTTCATAATCCTGAAGAGTGATGTGTTCCTCTTCCGTTTGGTAAGATATCATTCGATTCTTGAATAATTTTTTCTTTACTTTTCATTCGATAGTATCCAAAATGATCCATTCTTTATGTAAAATATCCTGAAATTTTAAATTTGCCTTTAAGTAATGCTTTGAAAGTGTCAATATATTTTTATCACAATCCCTTTATCTCAATTGCTTGCAAAGAATCGATATTGTTTGAAGACATCACATCACTCTTCAGGATTATGAATAAAGAAGTCACCTGTGTGATCATCCAAACGATTGAGATACGATCAAAGACCTTTACCATGGCACACATTGCCATGTTCATTTACAAATACAAATGAAATCATGGATAGAACTGTAGAAATCACCCTGTGATGATTGGTGAATTAATCTCAAGTAGTTTTAATCGATCACCTAAAAAAGTATATACTCCAATATCTTACAAATTACAAACCTTAGGGCGGAGACTGCACCTATACAGTAATAAACTTCTTTTCATTGCAGAATTTGCCTTTAATGCTTTGAAAGTGTCAATGTATTTTTATCACAATCCCTTTATCTCAATTGCTTGCAAAAAAGCGAAATTGTTTAAAAACATCACATCACTCTTCAGGATTATGAAGAAAGAAATCTCCTGTGTGATCATCCAAACGATTGAGATACGATCAAAGACCTTTAACATGGCACACATTGTCATGTTCATTCACAAATACAAATTGAAGCCTGTATAGAACTGTGGAAATCACCCTGTAATGATTGGTGAATTAATCTCAAGTGGTTTCAATCGATCACCGAAAAAAAGTCTATACTCCCAAATCTTACAAATTACGAACCTTAGGGCGGAGACTGTACTTATACAGTAATAAACTTCTTTCCATTGCAGAATGGTAGTTGGAATGAACGTATATTTTATTTCTAATAAAACATTCTGAGAAGTCAATGATCTTTATTCTGCATATTATGACATATCCATCAGTTTTACCTTTCAACTAGTGTTCGAAACGAAATGTGAGAAAAAAAGGCGCACCGAATACCTACCTCCCAATCTGAGTAGGAAAATCAGTGAATGTTTCATGAAGGAATGATATAAAGGGTAATACCAATAGATATGATCTTGATGTAGATGATTACATAATATTAATCCATCATATGACTCAATATTAATTTAAAATTTAGTAGAACTCATTATGATTTGACACACCAATTTAGTCTGTAGTATACCAATTTAGCTTTTATAGATCATAAGAATAACATAAGTGTTGTTACTGAATAGGTAGGTGTAGATACAGTTAATAAAATAGTAGTAGGTCAGATAATAAATGCAAAACAACTACAATGCAGTGATTGAACAGGGGTTGCCTTAAAAGATTTTGTCTTCGAAGATCGAACAATATTTTTGCGACCAATGGCGATAAATAGTTCATATCATGATCTATGTTACATTCAACAAAACTGTTGTGCCAATTTGGAAAAAAAATACATATAAGAAAGAATACATTCTTGAAACACTTACCCACTATTCGACCAACCTGACGAAATATATCCATCTAAAAATAGACACTATAGATTGATTATTCGATTTATGAATAAGGGTTTGAGAGAAGTAATATCCATTTCAGTATTAATCAGCTCCTAATCTTAAATCAGAACAGATCCTTGCTGATAACTCAAACAAACGGGTCCAAAATGTAATTCATGGCTTATTCACCCAGGTTCAACTGCTGTGGACAAAAAATCACTTTTTGTATACTTGAATAATATCACTTTTATCTCCTCGTTTTAACATTTTCCAAAAGCTTGGATTAACTTTCAAGATTTTCCTTTTAATTGCTGCTATCCCCAATATACACCGGTTTTATTCCTATTGGTCAGCAAAGACTTTCCTTCTACTTTCAGCACAGTGATAGATATTTTGGACAAACTTCTACAAATACATATATTATTTTAATAATAAGTACTCATATCCTTATTTATAGGAACAAATCTAATCTCATCATATCATACTTAGATGTTTTTGTTGCAACCGATGATGTTTTCAATGGTGTTATGAAGGTAGGTAGTGTTTTTTCAGAAAAACCAAATACATCGGCGTTTTCCTCTGAATTCGAATGTGCATGAAAATACTGTATAAAAATGCTTCGATCTAACAGTTCCTAATATAATGCCAGACACTTTAAACCATCTACTGCAAGTTGTTATGACTGTTCACTCTGAGGTGTTTTCATAGTGATCATGATGATACACATAGTAAACAATATAAACACAAATCATCCATTGACCAGTGTATAAAGGGGACACCTTATTGCCTAATGTTCTCAACAGACTTTCTGCAGACTGGAATGACTTTTGTTTTTGGTTCATACCAGCCAATAAGAATTGGATTATGTAATAGTTGAGAGTTGAACGACATGGGCTGAGTATTTAATGTTAGCATCGCATTTTGCTTTGTTTTCAAATGTTTTTATGATATTGAATACAGTGCGCTTCAGGTTTATGCATAAATTCGATAAAATTCCAACTAATTTCATAAAAATAAATTGCCGGACAAGTCCAGCTTTATTTTCTAATTAGAAAATGTTGACATATGATTCAGCACAATGATTGTAATCTGATTTTCCAAATGGAACTCCTCACATATTTTGGCATATTTTCATTATACATGTTCGGTATAAGCATGATGATATTTTGTTCTCAACATTATGTTATACAAGGTGTTCCTAAAATGTATTCCACCTATTCGAAGAAACAATTCCTTGGCTTCTTTTAGGGCAGAGTTTCTATAATTATAGATCCTTATTAGATTCATTTTCAAAGTGGACGAAAAATAATAAGTTTTATACGATTACTAGGCAACCGCCGAACAAAAATCTGGAATATTCCAATAAATTAGTTAGACCATGAGGGCAAATGGAAAAGTGATGTCATTTGACCAATCGGTTTTCCAGTGTCGCCGTTAGTATAGGATACTATTGATCGTGTTTAAATTAAGAGTGAACAATGAAAGAAAATTTACAAGTTTTCTAGAAGAATATGAAAGGCAATTCAATTCTGTATAGAAAGGACCTCCTATTGAAACTCTATAGAACGTACTGTTTTTATATACATCGCTCTAGGTGAATCATGATATCAATTGGAGAAACTGTCATGTCTTCGTAGTCGTTTACATAACCCCATTAAATCCAGTCGGTATCGTTGAGTTCCTAATTTTAACATCTTATGTATTGTGGAATGCAAAATTTCAAAAAATCAACTATTATCCGATAGTTTATTCATTTTGATAACCCTTTTTATTTTGATGGCGTTTGGAATCTCGCTCAAGAATGTTTCCAAATGTTTTCTTTGAATTTCGAAATCGGTTCAGAAAAAACTTAGCTACAAAGGGAGAACATTTATGGTGGATCGTGAATCACTCTGTAGGTATACATAATCAGAAGTGTTCGGTTCCTTTCATCAAAAACTCTCTAAGAATATATTTTATTT